ATTACATTTAACAAAACAAAAACCATATATATATATATATATATATATATATATATATATAATTTAATTTATAACATATAATCATGTTATATGTATTTTATGATATGTAAAAAAAAACGATTGCCGGTCACAGGCTGCCAGCTTGATCTAAATCACATCATCATTCTATCATTATTCCAAATCAATGTAAATCATGTATTGTGCTGCAGTTCCTAAAAGTTATCAGCCAATAGACGAGCTCCTCCATCGACGGTTAGTTTTGCAGCCTACTTACGGTCAGTGTGCGTGTGTTTCCGCAGAGGAGTGTGAGGTGCATCCAGGCCAGCGTGAGCAGGCAGAGGCCGTGATGCTGGCGTGCTGCTATCTGCCTCCTTCCTTCCTGTCAGCTCCGGGCCAGAGGGTGGGCATGCTGGTGGACGCCGCCCGGACGCTGGAGAAACTAGGCGACAAACGCACCCTCCACGACTGCCAACAGATGATCATCAAACTAGGCAGCGGAACGACCGTCACCTCCACCTAGCCACCTACACACACACACACTTAAGAGCACTTTTACAAACACACCCCCAAGATCTCTCAGAATCAACACGCTCTTCATTTCAGGCCTCGGTGTCATCCAAGAACGCCAAGACTCTCCCCAGCAATTCATAACTGCATATTCAAAACCAGCGACGAGATGCAGAGGCAATAACGGGACCCTCCTCCAAACAGTGTTTTCGCGACCTTTTTGATATGAAATTGAATATTTAACTTATTTATCTGCCCTAAAAGAAAGTGAACAGATTGCGTGAAATGGCTTTGTGAAGCGATGCACTGTCAGTGCTGACTCGGGCCAGGACATTTTAAAATATATATTTAAAACAGTTATTTTCCATTTTAATTTCATAATAATGCAGTTTTTACTGCATTTGTTTAAATAAATACAGCCTTGGTAAGACTTCTTTTAAAAACAAAAAAAAATGATATTGTATTATATTAATACTACCATTCTACCATTTTAATACTACCATTACATTTAACAAAACAATATCTGCCTCCTTCCTTCCTGTCAGCTCCGGGCCAGAGGGTGGGCATGCTGGTGGACGCCGCCCGGACGCTGGAGAAACTAGGAGACAAACGCACCCTCCACGACTGCCAACAGATGATCATCAAACTAGGCAGCGGAACGACCGTCACCTCCACCTAGCCACCTACACACACACACACTTAAGAGCACTTTTACAAACACACCCCAAGATCTCTCAGAATCAACACGCTCTTCATTTCAGGCCTCGGTGTCATCCAAGAACGCCAAGACTCTCCCCAGCAATTCATAACTGCATATTCAAAACCAGCGACGAGATGCAGAGGCAATAACGGGACCCTCCTCCAAACAGTGTTTTCGCGACCTTTTTGATATGAAATTGAATATTTAACTTATTTATCTGCCCTAAAAGAAAGTGAAGAGATTGCGTGAAATGGCTTTGTGAAGCGATGCACTGTCAGTGCTGACTCGGGCCAGTAGATGGTGATTTGGTGAACTGGACGCTGCTCCGTGGTTGAATTGGAAAAGTATTGTAGAGCTTTGCTTTACTTATTAGCACCTTTGAGAGATGTCGACCTCCAGCTGAATAAAGTAGTTCCTACTTACAGCACGTTATCATCCGGGATGAATTCTGCATATCGATTTGAGAAAATGAAGGCTTTATAAAACTTCTTTTTCTCTGTATGTATGTTTTAAATAAGTGTATTTATGATTTGTCTGATGGCACATTTTGTCTTGCTGCTGCAATTGAACCATTTGAAGAAGTCAGCAGAACAAAAAAAACTGGATTTGTGTCCATTTGCGCTATTTAGTGAGTGGGCCGTTCGGTCACCACTGAATCCACCGTTTCTTTTGTATTTCCAAACCAGTCTTCCTTTGGAGTCAGTGAATCCAAATAATTTCATCTGCATCGAATCTTTATCATCTTTATCCAAAGATCAGATTTGAGAGTGATATGAGGATCTGCCTGCAGCTCTTGTTAGGGAGAGAAGCATATTTATATTTCATCTCTAGTCACCGTTATGCACGAACTCTGATTTCTAGACGTGATTTCTGTAGTGCTTGTGATCGAGTCTCAAAGACGGAATGTGTTTAAACTCGCAGGCGCACACTTAGCATATCTTCTGTTTGATTTATTCTTAAGAATGTAAATAAAAGTCTTTTGTAATGAAGTTGGTCTGCGTTTGTAATCTTGATTTTTTTTCCCAACTTGTGTGCTTTTCCAGGAAAGAAGGGCATACAGCATTAGAACAACACGACGCCGACAAAGATGCACAGAAAGAAAACAAAACGTGATTTTGATCTCAATTCCAAAGACAGCTGTTCATGTTCACACATCTATTATATTTCATGGCAGTGTTACATAAAAATAAATAATAAAAAAAAACACCCAGAAACATCGCAGGATGAGCTGTAAACGAATACGATTCCAAAAAAAAAAAGTCCTTTTGATTCATTGTTTTAATAACTGTTGTAAGCAGTAACATATTTGTTTTATAGAAAATAAACATCTCTAAGAAATACTATACACAATTATAATAGTACATCACATCTTACATTTAAACCGCATCAAGTACTTATATACACAATTATTTAGAATCAGGAATCAAATAATCACGTGATGGTTCTCTCATCTCTTACCTGTTATACTGCAGTGAAGGCTATATTATGTTAGTCACATATACATCTGATTAAATGACATTTCACGTCGTCTGCATCGTTTCACAAATAACATGAAATGTAAAATCGGTTTGTGGTATAGATCGTTTCACTTTGCTGAGGCTTCCGTAAGCTCAAAGTTCAACTAAAAAATACCATTCTGACATTATTTACTCGTTCTGATGTCGTTTCAAACCTATGCGACTGACTTTGTGCATTTGAGTTATTTAGAAGAATGTCCAAGCTGCCCTTTTCCATGCATTGAACGTCAATGGAGCGGTCAAGCACCAAAATGACAAGAATGCATCAGAAATACTTAAAAATCATGCGATATACAGACTGAAATTGAAATAACGGTCTGAAATTGGACCTTTTTGTTTGTCTCACAGAAGAACGAAACTCATGCAAGTTTGGAACGACATGAGGGTGAGTAAATGACGACCGAATTTTCAGTTTTTTAGCATCCCTAAATGCTGAGCGGCTGATACACGCAACATGAATGCAGGATATTTTAGTCATCCAGATGCA